TCCAAATAAAGTTTAATTATAATTTTTATATCAGTAAGTCTCGAGCTATATGTCAGTAAATATGTTAATAGATTTGAACTTATTATGAAAAAAAAAAGTATTTTAAATATATTACTTTTTTTACTAGGGTTGCCTTAATGCAAGATATACATAAAGCAGACGTGATTACAGATGGGATTCAGGATGTCATTGAAAAAGGCAAGCACATCACTTACACTTTCTTTCCTTTCAATTTTTTTTAAGTTTTCAATTAGTTCAAAGGAATATGTTACGTGGGAGAAAGATCTCTATAACTAATCCCAGCACAACTTGCATAAAAGGATAGATTCCCTTGATGTATCATGGGAGGATGAACTGGGAATCAAACCTTCATTTTCCTGTTGGTTGCGCTCTGTTGGGTCACCGCTGCATGGCACTGTTACAATAAAACAAAAACAAAATAAATAAATAAACTAAAATCAAATGCACCTTTATGATGTGATTTTACATTTCTTTAAATGGTTCACTCTCAGAAAAAGTACAGAAGCTGTCACTGGGGCAGTACCCTTTTAAAAGGTACTAATCATTTAGGTACACTTCAGGTGCTAAAATGTAACTTTAAGGCACTCAAATGCACCCTTTAGGTGTAAATAAGGTTCAAAGGTGAACCTTTTGAAAAGGCACCTCTCCAGTGACAGCTTTTGTCCCTTTATTTCTGAGAGTGCTTATATTGACACATAAACTGCAGTTTTTCTATATCTAACTTGGTGGGGTAATCTTGTTGACAGGGGTGCTGGAAGATGTTTTAGGTTGGGAGTTCTGTGTGTGTTGGGGGAGGGGGGTACCAGCAGGGAAGTATAAGTTATCGAGCTGTTGTTTTACACGCAAGCATGAGCACCCTCAGTCGAAGCTGTAATAGCATATTGGCAAAACAGATTTGTCAAATGATCTAGTGCGTATCTGTGTTTGCTGTCTGGAGAGCCTCAGAGGTTTTATTGTCAACATGTTTTTGCAGCGCTGAGCAATGTAGGCAATCACAGACATACAGTATCTGTTGATTTCATGAGCACAATGGCAAATCAGATGTGTTTATGTTAGAATCCACTCACCTCTCAAAACACTGAACACTCGTGAATTATAACAAAATGATGATACTATATATAAATAGGAGATTCAATGTGCAGAGCTTCATTAATTATAACAGAACTTTGTTAGATTGCGTTGAACTGAAATGAGTGACAGCTTTTTAATGATTATAATAGGGGCACTCTTAGCACCATAGTAATTGACCGGACAAAAATAGAAAAGCACCCTCTTCAGAAGTACCCTCAGTGAGTTGATTCTGGTCTGCTGTCATATCCATTAAATGAACCTGCTGTGCAGCGACAGGAAAATAAAAATGAACACAAAAACTGCCTACCTTGCAGAACACAGAAGGTAGACTTGCACTCAGAAGTAGACCGGGCGAATTATGATTCAAGCGAAAGGATTATTAAAGGCTAATCCCGTTTCGAGAAAGAAAGTCTACTTCATAGCCTACTTACAATTTATATTTAAAGTGTTTATTACAAACAAATTACTGAATGCAAAAAAAAAGAGTAAATGTAAATGAACAAAAATTTGCATTGCATTTACAGTCCTATGAAAGCGCAATGCTGCAGCACCCCTACTTCCCACACCCCTGCTGTTGAAAACTCATCACAATGACGCTGAATTTTTCCACTGGATGACTGTCAGACTTTCATTTAGCAAAAATGCTAGTCCTTACATTAGTTTCTGTAATTTTTACATTTCTGCATTTATTTTTTCATGTATCCTTTATATCCACTTCTTTGCTTTCTCATCGCAATTTAGTACTTTTTGAATGGTATCTTTTATGATGTCCAAAGGTGATTAATAATTATATATCATAAAACTAAAATCACAAAGTCAAAAATAAAAGACTAAGAATTGCAAATAACGGGTGCAAATAAAAGTGGTGAATACAAAAGATATTTCTGCACAAAAGGCTCATATATCAGCTGTTGGTAATACTTGCCTTCTTGTCTTGGTTGGTTACATTTGCGGAAACAAATCACTGCAGAAACAATGACAACAACAGCAGCAACAGCAACAGCAACAGCAACAGCAATAGATATTTTCAGAATTGTCCAAAATTGAACTGAAATGAAAAAAAAAAGTGAACAGTAATTAATTAGGGTAAGTGAATCCTCCCAAACTGATATCAAGCAAGATACAAAAGCAACAACACATACAGAGTAAATAAAGCTGCAATTATTATTTTAATAATAATCATGGTCTTAAGATTATCAGACTAATATTTGGGGATGATTGAATGAAAGCTGTATGAAGAGTATTTTTGATAAAAACCAAAATGGCAGACTTGGGAATGGTGGGTATTGTTCCCCTGTTAAAATGTGTTTTATGTGTTTATAGTCTTTATGTGTTAAAATGTGGAACATTAATGATGCAGCTGGAAATTATTGACCAGTTTAATGAATAATATAAACTGCTGGCAAACCTGAACAAAGCTTGGTGATGTCCACATATTCAGTCTGTATGGTGAATGAATTGGAGACAACACAGCTGTAGGTGTTGTTTGACAGAGTGTTGTTCTGATAATCCACCTCCAGACATAAAGAGCTGTTGAGATCAGACACACTGATGCTGGACAATAAACTGTTTCCTTTGTACCAGGAGAGAGTCACATGACCCACATTCACCACTGAACACAGCAGCACACATCTGGACACTGATGATCCTGATGATGATGATGATGAAGAACAGCTTGAGGAATCTCTGCTGATGACAGGAACAGGCAGATGAGCTAGGGAACAGAAGTATGAACAAAAGTGTAGATTAGATTTCAGTGTTCAAATATATTAACATTCATTGAATATCTACAATAGATTGTACTCTGATCACTTTTGCATCATGTATCTGTCTTTCATTATATTGTCTGTACTGTTCATCACCTCTTCTTGTGTTCCACTCTATCTCCCCCCTCTGCACTTATTCAGTTCAGTTTAGAACTGAAATCAATCAACTCTGTGTGAGATGATTTCTTCAGTTTACTCACCATAGACAGTAACATTAAAACCCCAGCATCTGGAAACTCCATTGTTGATCTGTAGTTTATAGACTCCAGAATCTGTTTTGTTGGTGTTTGTGATGGTGAGATTTCCAGTCTGACCATCTAGCTGCAGTCTGTCTTTGAATCTCAAATCGTCACAGTCATATATGAAGATGTTATTATTCAGGATTTCAGCAATGATAGTCAGTTGAGCAGGACGACATTCAAACATCCACAGTATTTGATCCTTCATCTTTACTTCCATAACATCAGTGTGTAGAGTGACAGAATCTCCCTCAGTCACTGAGACTGGTGTCTGTGTTTTGTCTGTTTCAACACCAAAACACAATCATCAGATCATATAAACAGTTAGTCAGTTTATTGATCTTAGACTCATTAAAAAAATGGAAAGAGGACTGACAGCTACTTAATCTGATGGGCCATTGAGAATTAATTACACATTTTCTATTATTTGTTTGTTTAAAAGATGAATACAAATGTGGAACACATTTTGGGTCTATGGTCATTCTAGGTCAACACAAAAATACACAGACAAGTTTCTGAATGTGTGCTTTTGCTATAAAAACATGAGAAAACCCATATACAAAATGTCTGACAGAATTACCAGGGCTACAGATCAGCTCATGAAATAAACTCTATTATTGCCACTGCATGTAACTCAATGTTACTGATGAAGATCAGCTCATGAATGAATGCTAATATCAACACTGACATACCTAGACACATTTGACAGAGTTGACTGATGTCCAGCTTTGTAGTCTGCTTGCTGAAGGGATCATTCAGCACACAGCTGTAGGCGTTTGTATCCTGATATTCCACATACATACATAGACTGAGGTCAAGGTTAAGATCAGCGACTTTGGTGATGGAGAATAAACTGCTTCCATTATACAAGGTTAGAGTCGCATCTGGAGAATTTGCCACTGAACACCGCAGTGCACATTTTGAGCTTGGTGTTGTTTTTGAAGGACATGTATCTATAGACCTATATAGTCTGGTAAATTCAGGAATTGAGAGCTGGAAATAATGGAGAGAATAATTAAAATCAAGATTTTACAGTAATATGAAAAATAAGAAAAGACAATTTTAAGCAATCATGATAATTAAAGAAACATTTTTACATCAGTTAAGTGAGTGTTGGAATCTTTCGCCTTCACTGACACCATCTTTATTTCATCAGCTTCAGCGCACAACACACCTGAAATACAATGTAAAATGATTATTTTATTTAACATAAGATCACAATCATAAGCAGGGGCACTTCTAGTACTGGGACACAGCATCAACACCGCTCACTGCCAATTAAAAAAGTGTGCCATAATTTAACACTGTTTTGGATATAAATCGACTTTGCCTGAAGCACAGAGTCATTTAACAAGCTGCATGTGCAAAAAAGAGCTGCTTAGCCAATGACAAATGATGGAAGACATTTGCAACAAAAATAGTGCTTGAGTCTAACCCTATTAAAGCATGTTAATCTGTATCTTTGATTTGTCCAAACGTTTGGCAGCTGACTTGATGCCTCGCTGCCTTATCAGGCAATGACTCTGCAGGTGAGGTTTGCACACAAAACTAATTTCGGACATCATAATGGTTTGATCTACAACAAAATAGTGAGAGCTTTGGTGATAACTAAGTAAATATTATATTACTACTAATATCTTGCTAGAAATGATATCAAAAGTGAATAAAGATTTTCAGAAACCTATACAAAAAAACTGACCACAATCTGCAACTTTCAGCACTATTTTTATTTTTTAGCTCAACTGTCATGGAAGTGAACACACAGGATTGTGAGATATCAAAGGCAGTGAAGCAGGCATCTATACTGCCTTCAAAAAACGATCAGATGAAGGCATCTCAAGTGACAGGAAGTGAACTTGGACAAACATTTGGACTTGGACGTGCTTTGATGCCATCCTACTTTGGAATGCATCCTCTGAAGACAGAGCGCATTTTTCAGTTTTTGGATGCAGCCAATATATTTACTACGCACCTTTTTCCTACACCCCATGATGCTTTTAAGCAAATTATAATGTAACTATGAAGTAACCATTAAACCAAACAGTGAACTTCTTACAATAAACTTGTTTAAAGCTTCTCTCTAAGAATACAATATTACTCATTTGCTAAACAGGGTACAATGGGGTGACATTATTTCTTTTCAATCCTCAACCATCGAACATTAAAAGCAAACTTAAAGTGAAAAAGTATTAACAAATTACTATCAGCAGACCCCAAAAGCTCAAATGAGTCTTTTAGCAGCAATATTATAGATGTGTCAAATATTACTGTATAGTAGCCTAATGTAAGTCTGTATTATGTAACATGTTGTGTTAACCAAAACCAAAAAGCTTAATGGGATTAGAATAAAAAAAAAGGGTGATACAGTTATGTTTTAAAGAGCAGTGTGACAAACCGGGAAAGAGATGGGAGTGATTTGGAAATAAAATGCAGTAAAAAAAACAACAACAACAACTGCACAGTGTCTGTAGCCTTTTTCATATAAGAGCAAAATACAAAGAAAAAAATAATCAGGAGGAACAGGATATAGCTAGCAGACTGAAAAGAGATTTTGTCACATACATCCTTGTGATACCAATGTCATATGAAAATACCAAGTGTGTTTGTAGTGCAACCTTAATTTTAAATGATTTGTTTCCATTACTTTGAGTCGAAGTTCCCTAAACCAGAAGTGCTGCCCGTAATTTAAAACACAGTACTACTAAGACGCATTCGGAAAAAGGTACGTTTTTGATTCAAAAAGCATTTTAAAAGGACTGGACAACAATCTTTAAACTAATTCTTATTTAAAGAAACAACTTTGATTTTAAGATGAAAAACAAGATTGCAAAAAAATTTAAAAATAAATAAAGATCATAGCAGGGTTATTATAACTAAAAGTAAAACCACAAAAATAAAACCACATTTGTTACTTGAAATAAAATAAAAGTTAACTGAAATAAAACACATAAAAAAACAAGAGAATTATAGAAAATTACTGCATCATGTATTCTTATTTGGGTTATGTTAAAACAAAGAGATGCAGAAGAGACAGAGATAGAACAAAGAGTGAGGGTTGCAATGACTGTAAAACAAAACCAGACCATCTGCTATTCAAAAACTAGCCCAAAACTAGCCCAATTGCATTTTTTCTGCATTTTAATAATCAATTACTGTCCCCTCCATCGAAATAACAAAAAACAACAACCACGGCTTGGCAACACTGCAAAGCGTTGAGGAAGTACAGAATAATCACATGGAACAAACGTTAATGAAGTTTGTAGTACAATTATTTATCGTTTTGAATACATTTTTGTGCTCAACATCCAAATGTTGAAATATTATGAAAGCAAGAAGAGACTTTACCCAATAGCCTCGGTAGACAGAGCAAAATATTCCACAAGAGTTTCATATTCTTCAAAAGTTGTGGGATAACTCTCTGAATTGGCTCCCTCTGATTTTAAATACATAAAAAAAAACAAAAGTCTATAAAGTTTTGTATGCTTTTGTATCCAGCCAAAACATACGGTGTCAAGCAGTTACAGTATGTTTTCAGCCTTCCCGGAAAACACATGCCCTGACCTGCTGAAAAACAACAAAGGAATGTGCCTACTTTCGTACTAGTAGAAGAAAACCAGTATTTCAGCCGAATACACTGAAAAAAAGTTACATTTACTTAACTTTTGCACGTTTTTGCACACACTTTTTTTTAAGTACATTTAAGTATGGATAAGTAAGTACATTTAACTACTTAACTAAGTTATATAAAATTAACAAAGATAATAAGTAAATATAACTTGGCCAGTTAGCCACTTAATCAGTTGAAGTTTACTCTGTAATACTCAAGTAAATTTTACTCCAAAAAAACAAAAAACAAAATCCTATTGAGTATATGGTTCACTTAGAAACATCTAAGTAAACAATAGGGCTGTAAAAAAAAAAAACTCAATTCGAATTTTGTACTTAAATATTATCAAAATTCGAATTATATTCGAATTTAAAATGCATAATTTCAGTTAGGGTGAAGAAAAGCTTTTGGCTTCTCTCCTGAGGCCACAAGAGGGCGCATCGAGCAAAATATTACAAATGCACGTTTATTCAGAGCATAAGATAACATGACTATCTGTGCAAAAAAGTGCATAATGTTTATCATATGATGCGATTTAAATTTTTCCTTTCTCTTTGGAGTGTTACAAGCTCTTGGTGCATAAAGAAGATCTGTAAAGTTGCAAAGACTAAAGTCTCAAATCCAAAGAGATATTCTTTATAAAAGTTAAGAG